ATTAAATTAAATTTCTCCATCTATTAAGTTTTTCTGTTTATCTGATAAATCTTTTAAACCTAAATCTAAAAGTACATTCAATGGTCCTATAAAACTTTCAGAGTTATCTTTTATTTTTATAAATAAAATATCATCACATACTACTTAAGTTAATTTATATTTTTTTCTATCTTTTTTATTATATCTTCATTTATGTTTTAGTTATTTATACTAACTACTATACATTAATCAAAATCTCCTAAGTTATTACTAGTCAATTTTTCGAGGTTATTTGTATTTTTAATAACTCTCTTTTTATTAAATTAAATACTAAATTTACATTAAGACTCGTATTTTTCTTGTTTAGTTTTGCCAACCTATAATGTTATTTTAGATTAATTATAATTCTCAATTTTTTCTAATTCCTTTGTTTTAAGCAGATTTTGTTGTATTGTATGTTACTTTAAATCTTCTTTTTATTCTTTTTCCATTATTGAAGTTTTTTATTAAGAAATAAATAATTATTAATTTAAACAAATTATTAATATTTAATATTTAAAACAATTTTATATATTATATTTTTTATTTATAAATAAATAAAATATTTATTAGAATTTATTATAAAAAATAAATTTTATATCAAAAAATTTAAAATCAAAATCTTAAAAATGAATTTATAAAATAATTAGAATTATAATTAATAAAATATAAGTGAAGAATAATAATAATAATCTTAAAGCAATACTTAAAAAGTTGTTGATGTAATTAAAAATTTTAAAGAGCAATCATCAAAATTAAGATATATAAATATGTTTTGCGGTGCATTTTTAATTATTTTAGGAGTTTTGAGGTACATATTTATATAAATTGATTTATTTTTACCATGGACATATTTTTAACCTGCATATATGATAATATTCGGATTATTAATAATAGGAGCAGAAAAAGATATATAATTTATCAAAGAAAAGTTTTAGTTTATAAATGGTTATTTGGGTAAAGGAATGGTAGATATTTTCGTAGCTTCAGTAACGTTTAGTGCTTTAGAAAAAAATGGACTTAGCGTAGCTTCAATTATATTAACAATTATATTGCTTTTAGTAGGTATAATTTATATTTATTATCATTTTTAATAAAACTAATAAAATGAAAATAACCTAAATAATTCAAATAATTCTATTAAACCTTTATAAGAAAATAATGTTAACATAGAAATATAAAATAAAATAGTTTGATAAAAAATAAATATATATATATAAATATATGACAATATTATTTTTTATATGAGATATATAAAATTGTTTATTTGAAAAAGGAGAAATTTTTTTATAATTAAATATATAAATAAAAATTATTAATAAGATAGTCTATAAATATATATATAAATATATATATATATATATATATATTTATAAATATTTTTATATATTTTATATATTTTTTTATATATATATTTTATTATTATTTTTTTAGAATTATTAAAAATGTTTGTATATATTTTATATTCAGTTTTCTATAATTATATATTATATTTTAATTTTTATTTTATTTGTATATTTTTATATTCATTTTTTTATATTTTTTTTACCCAATTATTATTTATATTTTTTTTAATCAATTAATCTTTATTTTTCTATTTATTTGTTACAATAATTTAATAAATTTTATTTATTTCTTTTTTTAATATTTCTTTATGAGAAGATTTAGTAGATGATAATGTCTATTCTTAATATATTATAATATGTTTTAATAATTTAAAATGTTAAAAATTAATAAGTTTACCTATTTTTTTTTTATTTTATTTTTTTATACAAATTTTTATTGATTTCAATTTTGTAAATAATTAATTATTTGTTTTTTTCTTTAAAATTATAAGATTTAAAAGAAGTACCTTTTAATACCTATTTAAGAATTTTTTTCGGAAAGAATTATACTTTTTTTGCTTGATTATTGCTTTGTAAATTTATTTAGTTCTTAAGTATTAAATACATATAAATTTAGTAAAGTAAAAAAAATATTCTAAATTTTTTATTTTTATCAGTTTTTAAATTATGAAAGTAATTGATATCTTTTTTTCTTAATATTATTAAAGTTAGTATGACATTTAATTTGTTTTTATTTTTTATATTATCTCTTTTATAATTAATAGAGGCTGAATTATTACTTAATTTCTTATAAGAATTTTTAAAATTTTTAAATTAATATTGAAAAAAATCATAGAGTATATAATTTCTACTTTTATATAGCATTTTTAATTTTTTTTTTTTTACAGATGATTGATTCTCATCATTAATAAATAAATATAATTTTATAATAAAGTATAATAACATTAAAAAATAAAAATATTTTTAGATTATTTACCTAAGTAAATAAATATACTAATAAATTTATAAAACATAAATAATAAATAACAAAAATTACTTAATATTAGAAAACAACAAATTTGGTGTCTTAGATTAGAAATTTCATTATTTATAAAAAAAAATATAATCAAAATTATAAAAAGCGTCTTAAATTTAACATAAAACTTTAAAGATAAAATATTAATCGTAATAATAATATAAATATGAAAAATATAAAAAAATATATATTAATAAACTAAGTAAACTTTAATGTACACATTATAATATAAAAAAATAATAAAATTAAAAATGATATATTATAATAAAATTAATTTAAGGCAAATAAATAAAATAATCAAAAATTATAATTTAAAATGATTAAATCAATATAGATTTAGTAATAATATAATGGAAATATTAGATATATATTTAATGTTAAAAACTAATATTTTTTTATAAATAATAAGAATAAAGACTAAATAATTATTATACATAATATTATAATATAAAATAAAAACTTATAATAAATGAATGAATGAATAAAAATAATTAATTTTATAAAGTATAAATAAAAATAAAATATTTTATAATAAATTATGTGCTTATAATTGATGGAACAATAGAATTTTCGAACGATCTAAATTATTAGAAAGCAATAAATAATAATAAAATGTAAATAATTTAATAATAATATTAAAATTTGGATTTAAATATTTAGAAACTAACAAAAAATTAATTAACATTACGAATATTAAAATCATGAAAGTATCAATATTATAATTAGTAGAAAGAGAATCATAAATAAAAAATAGACTATTAATTCTAACAATAATCTAATAACACATTTAAAAAATATTTAACATAACTTTGAAAAATATGAATGTAATATTTTATATTGTAATTTAGAGAAAAAAAATAAAACTATCATATTATAACTGTAAGAAAATATATATAAAATCATAGCATTTTATATGGAATAACTATAATAAAATAAAGATACATATAATATAGCTATAAATAAAATACTAAAGAAATTCTTATTATTTCAATGTAAATTAAAACATAATAAAATATATGATATCTTATAATTAACTATATAGATGAAATAACCCATTTATATAATAAGTATATATTAAAAAATTAGAAACTGAGAAATAATAAAATAGGATTAAATAGAATATTAGTAAAATTCTACACATAAAAAATAATACTGATAGTAAATAAGATATATAGCATTAATTAAAAAATTATTAAATAATTATAAACTTGATTTATTCTTGAAATATTTTTACACTTTTATTTATAAAGCGAAATGCATTTTATGTGAAATTTGCAGACAAACACACAGAATAAATAAATGAAAAGATATAAAATTAAAAAGCATTATAATGAAATTCAAAGCAATAAATAATAAAATAAATTAAAAAAAAAATACTGATACATAACAAATATTATAAATAAGACATAAAAATTTAAATTGATGACAACTAAAATATTAAGAATTATTTAATTACAGTATAGTAAAAAAATTAAAAATAATCTTAATAAAATTAAAAATAAGTGATATTATAATTTTGACATATATTATTTTGTGAAACATTTTTGTCATATATTTAATTATTTCTATATATAATATATTTTTACAAATTAATAAGGAAATTTTCGTCAAAATTTTAATCATAGATATAAAAATATTATTCAGATTACTTTGTTATATTAATTAAACTAAATAAAATTTTATTAAAGTTTAATTTAATTTATTCTATATTTTTAAAATTTAAATATATATTATATTGAGTTATGTATCTAACATTATAATATATCATTAGTATGTTGCTTTATTCGTTGTTAAAATATTTATAAAGTACATAAGTAAAAAATTAATTTTATTAGTATAAATTATAATAACATTATAAAATATAATTATAAATATTATTTAAAGTAAAATATTTTTTTTGATAAAAAAAAAAAAAAAATTACAAAAAAAATAAAAGATCATAGAATAAAGATATCAATATAAAAAATTTTAAGTATATAAAATAAATAAATTAAAAATAAAATGAATTAAATAAATTATATATATAAATAAAAATAAATAAATTATATAAAATAAAAAAACAAATATAATAATAAATTAAATTTTTATAAATTTAATTTAAATAAATTTTAAAATAAAATATATATATATATATATATTAGTAATTATATATATTTTTATTTAATTTTATATATATATTAATTTTGTTATAGAATAAAAAAATATCTTTGTCTATTTTTTCGAAATAAATAAAAATTAATGAATTTCTAATCTATAAAAACATTTTATAAATACATTTTTATTTAAAATTGTTAACTTTTTTATCTTTTTTATTTTATTATTTTATTATATTAAGTGAAGTAAATTAAGGATAAATATATAAATTTTATGTAATTTTTGTATAAATAAACCATGTATAATTTAATTTTTATTCTATAAGTTTTTACAATATGATTTTGTATTTAAAAGCTTACAAAATTATTATTTTGTGATGTTAAGTTTTTTTTTATAGAAACTTAAACAGTTTTTATCTAAAAAAATAATATATTAAATAATAAAATGACGTATTAAAAACAATATTTACTTTTTCAAAATATTAATGATTTTTTTATAAAAATGCGTAATATACCTTATTTAAAACATATTAATAAAATTATATAAAAATAAAGAAAACCATAAAAAAAAATACATAAAAAAGAAAAAAAAAATGAATTCTCATGATGTCTAAACGGTTATAATTTTAGAACCAAATCATGATACGAATCAATTAATAACACCATAATGTTAATAATTCTTATATCTTTTACATACTCATTTCAACTCTAAAAGATTATCTCTTTTATAAGCCCGTAAAGATCTTCAAAAAAGACTTGATAATGGCTATAAGCCTGGTTTCCCAGAAGAAACAAAATATGTGAGAGAATCAGAATGGAAAGTAGCTCCTCCACCAAAAGACATAGAAAGACGTTGGATAGAACTAACAGGTCCTCCAAACCCTAAAATATGTATAAATGCCTTAAACTCAGGAGCAGATGTATTTATGGCAGATTTCGAAGATGCACTAAGTCCATCTTGGCTAAACTAAATAAGTGGTTAAAAATGTTTAATTGAAGCAAATTTAAAAGTATTAAAACATAAAGAAAACGGAAAAGAATATAGTCTTGATCCGAATTCTTATACGGTTCTTTTTGCTAGAACTAGAGGTTGGCATTTAGATGAAGCTCATATTTTGGTAAATGGATAAGTAATGTCAGGAGCTCTTTTTGATTTTGGTATTTATTTCTTCCACAATTACTAAGTTAGATAAAGAATGGGATGTGGAGGAATTTATTATTATTTACCAAAGTTAGAGTCTTATTTTGAAGCTAGATTATGGAATGAAGTTTTTCTATTTGTAAAATTTTTAAAATATATTATATTTTTATTTATTTTAATATATTTAAAAAGGCTTAAAAATACTTTAATGTTCCCATAGGAACTATTAGATGCACCGTATTAATTGAAACACTTGGAGGAGGGTTATAAATGGAAGAAATTTTATATGAATTAAAGGATCATATTGTAGCTTTGAATTCAGGAAGATGGGATTATATTTTTTCAGCTATTAAACTTCTAAAAAATCATAAAGATTGCGTTTTACCAGATAGATCTTAAGTAACAATGACAGTACCTTTCATGAAAGCTTATGCAAATAAACTTGTTTAAGTTTGCCATAAAAGAGGTGCTCATGCAATAGGAGGAATGAGTGCTTTTATTCCCACAAAAAATAAAGAAAAAAATGATTTTGCCTATAATAAGATAAGAGAAGACAAAAATAGAGAATGTTCTGAAGGATTTGATGGAAGTTGGGTTGCACATCCTGCAATGGTTAAATTTGCACGCGAAATATTTTAATAGTACTTAAAAGGATAAGCCAATCAAAAGCATGTTTTAAGATACGATTTAAGAGTTACATCTGAAGATATTATAAATTTAAAGGTCGAAAGTAATATTAAAATTTTTAATTATATAAATAATTTTATTAATAAAAGAACCTATTACTGAGTATGGTGTAAGGGAAAATATATCAATTACTATTTAATATATTTATTATTGGTTAATGGGTTAAGGTGCTGTTGGAATCAATAATTTAATGGAAGATGCAGCAACTGCAGAAATTTCCCGTTCTTAAATTTGGTAATGGATCAGACATTAAGCAAAAACTAATGATGGAAAAGTTATCAATATTTAATATTATTAGTAATTAATTATTTTTAATAATTTTTTAAATTTTCAATTTTTTTGTATAGATAATTAAGAGATTAAGAAGTATCTAATCTAAGATAAATTCTTAAAAATATAAACGTCCTTAATAAAGCAATCAATATTACTAACGATCTTATTTAAAACTAAGAAATGAAAGAATTTTTAACTATTGAGGCTTATCCAGTATTAAATGAAATATATAAAACATAATAATCAAAATTATGATATTAAATAAGGAATTATTATAAATGAAATTGATTTATAAATGAGATTTAAAATTTTATATTTATGTTATTAATAAAAAATTTTCTTAATATTTCACAAAAAAAAAAATTAAATTATTAAAAAAGTTTATATGATTTACTTTCTGTTAAAAAAAAACATGGAATTATAATTAAAAATACTTTATCATATAAGGAATAAATTATATATTACTTTTTCATATTGTTTTTTTTTAAACAAAAAAAATTAATTAAAAAAAATAGCAATAACCAATCACATTATAATTTAAAATAATTTTACTTTTACTTCCAAATTATTTAATCACCTATAATTTGGAAATACATAATTTTTTAAAAAAATTAAAAAAATTTTAGTTAGTTAATAGTATTTTTTTTGTTTATTGAGTTTTTTTAAAAAAATACAGAAAAAAAAAAAACAACATGATATATGATGCAAAGTAATAAATATATTTATGAATGTAATTTTAATTATATAAATATTATTAATTTTTTAAATTTAGGTAATCACATTTTTGTTTAATAATCAGAACTATTACTAAATATATTTATTTTTTATTAATTAAAAAATAAATATAAATGATATATTACTTAGATATTAAGTCCGAGTATTCAAAATTTTATTAATATTCAAATGTTTTTTTCCTGTCTGAATTTAATAATTCAACTTTTTATTACTTTTTCTTTTTAATATAATAAAAAAATAATATATATACCCTTTAATTTAATTTTTCTTAGAGCTTTTCTAATAAATACATCACCTTAGGATTGTTTACATTTCCATTATTTTTATAAAATTAAGAAACCTAGCTATTTTATTTAGTATTAAGATTTTATTATTAATTACTAATATTTTATTTTTATTATTAATTATAGAGTTCTTCTTTACTTTAATTTTTATTTAATTATTATGTCTTATTTTATAAATTATTATTCATTTTATTTTTATGTTTAATTTGATATTCCTAAACATTTTTTATACTTGTTGTATGAAAATTCTCATCACAACTTTATTTCCTTGGTTTTTTATTTTCCTTTAAAAAAAATATTTTTTTTTTATTATATATTTGATACTTGAATTTAACTTTCTTTTATAAGTTGGGATTATTGATCATTTGATTGAATACTTTTTTAAATATTTTTCATTAATTATTATTAGAATTATTCAAACTTGCTATCAATCAATTTATTAATAAATTGATTATTTTATTTATAAAAATTTTCCTTTAATTAAAATTAATATAAATAAATTTAAATGAAAATAAAATTACTTAATCAAATATTTATTATTAATCTTATTCATTAATAATTTAGATATTATTATTTAAATTTTTACCAAATGTTTAAGGAGAAGTATAAATAACATTTTATTTTTTATTTGTTTCTAAAAAACTTTTTTAATCTTGATTATTTTAAGATTGATTATAATTTTTATTTGTGGTATTTTCTAATTTATCAGTTAATGCTTAAATATCATGTTATAATTTCATAACAATTTGTTCTAATTTATTTATTTTAATATCTTTTGTTTTATTTTCTTCTTAAATTTATAAAATTTATTTTGTTAATTTTATTATTTCCCTTTCAGATTATGTAAGCATTAAAGGTGGCTAGTCATCAAGAATAGTTGTCTAATTTAATTATTAGTTTTAATTCTAGCTTAGTTCTGTGTTTTATATCTAATTTAACTTTTGGTATTGAATCTAATTAATTTAATCAGCTTATGTGATATTATTTTAATAATATAAATACTATATATCTCTATCCATATTTTATATATTTTAAAGTAAATTACTATCATTTCTACTTATTTATTAATGCTAATGAACACTCTTGTTTTATTAGTTATTTAAAAGATCTTCACTAGGACTATTAATTAAGCTTATTTTATTTACATAATTATTTTACATTCGGCCTCTTCTATCAGAACTATTATGAACATAAAATTTGGGTTAAGAATTTACGTAATTATTTTATTATAATTAATATTATTATTATTATTATTATTATTATTATTATTATATTTGTAATTGTTATTATTATTATTATTATTATTATATTTGTAATTGTTATTATTATTGTATTTGTTATTCTGATAACGTATTTATTATAACTTAATTATTTATATTATTATTTAAGCTAGCATTTTAAAATGGTTTTGGAATATTTAGCCTTTGATTTAAATATTTTTCCTCTATTTCAGAATCATTATTAATGCTTATATCATTTTAATTTTTTTATATTATTACCTTATTATATGGATTTTCTTCAAACAAAAATATTTAATTAATATATGTTTTAGATGCTCCAAACGTTTCTTTAATAACAATCTATTTATATATAAATTAATTTTAATATATTTCTTATTATATATTTTTTTTTTAATATTTATTTACTTTTAAATAATTATATCTTCTTCCTAATGGATCTATTTAAAATAATTAAATGCCTTCTCTCTTTTTTTAATATTATATTTTAAAAAATATTCAAATAAATTAAATTATTACTAATTCAGTATATATTGTTGACCAAGTAATATAATCTTTTTTATTATCAATTGATACTAAAAGTTCTATTATTGAAGGATTTGAATTATAATCATGCCAACAATCAAAGCCAATACATTTAAAAAATTTAGGTCTTTCACATAATTTACTTATATCAAAAATAATAAACTATGGCATCCCTTATTCGCACATCCAAATATTCTATTTTTAAATTTAATTTTTAAATTAAAAAACTAGAGCTATACTTTTTAAAACAAAAATCATTATTTAAATATATTTACTTTTCTTATAGGAGATATTATATTTTAAACTTAGGCGTTAGGCAATTATGAAGAACATCCTATAATTTAAGCGTTATTTTATTCTGTTAAATAATTACCATCAAGTAATTAAATATCCTCAGACTCCATTTAATTAAATATTTTGATTAATATATATTTAAAAATTTTAATAATTTTATTTTAAAATTAATTAATGTATATAAAATTATATTTGAATAATATTTAGTAAAATAAATTTAAATAGTTTGCCCTCAACATATATTTTATTATAAAATTTTAAAGTATTTTTTAATTGTTTATTTAATTAAATAAAATATTCAATAAATAATAAAAATAAAATATAAAATTTTCATTTAATTTTTAAAAATATATCTTTTTAAATGGAACTAATAATTTTAATATTTAATACAGGTTATTTAGTACAATCGTTAGCAAACTTAATATTAATTTTGAGAATTAAAAAAAATCGAAATGTTGATGGTTTATCATTTTAGACATAACTAATGTATGCTTTAGGAACTATCATGAGATTTATTTATTCTTTTGATACTCGTATTTCCCTATACACTTTATCTTATATTGAAATGACTTTAAGTTTATTTTTGAATTTTATTTTATTTTATTTATTTTGGAAATACAGAAATACGGCACATAATTAAGAATCAAAGATATTAAGTTGGATAACAATTATACCTTTGTGCTTTGTTTTGAGTTGTTTTTTTCATCCTGGGGAAGAGTTTTCAATTGATTAATTATTTGTTTCACTTTCTATGTTTATTGAAGCCTTAGGTTTATTGCCATAAGTTTATTTAAATAGAAAAAAAGGATTTGTTGAACACAAATTAGGTATTTATTTGACATTTATTTTTTGTAGTAGGATAATTAGAATGATTTTTTGGGTTTTAATGTATATAGATGGCTAATAATTTATTTATTTAATTTTAGCAGATTTATTGCATACATTCCTTCTTTTAGATTTTGTTATTCTTTTTATTAAGCATAGAAATAAAGAAAACATATTAATAATATGAAAAAATTAGAATAATACAAATAATACATATATAAGAAATACATATTTATAATATTGAATTTATCATTATTAAAAGAATTTATAATATATAATATAATAAATATTTTCAAAATAAAAAAAAAAATGTATATAATATTTAAAAGTTTTGTAAAAAAACGATATTTTATTATTTTAAATAAAAACATTGTTCACATTTATTTTTTTATTTTTATTTTTTATCATTTTTTTATATTTTATTATCATACATATAGTTTATATTTATATATTTTTATTTATTTTTTAATAAAATATAAATGTAATTTTTTTTTTTTTTTCAATATTATTAAAATTATTATTAAACATTCTTCTTCTTATATTAGTTGTTATTTTGATTATTATTTTTATAAACATTTTATTTTTGAATATTTTGGTTATTAAAATTGATTTAGTTATTAAAACTTTAATTACTATTAAAGCTTTAACTACTATTAAAACTTTAATTTAAATTATTATTAAAATTATTATGATTAGGCTTAATATCAACTCTACTTTTTTCTATTATACTCAAAACATGTTTTCCTTTAATTTAAAAATTTAAATATTTTATTATTTACTTATTAATATACCATAATTATTAGACATAACTTCATTAAATACATTTTAATTTTAAAATATATACATACAAATTCTCATTTTTGTTTCAAAATTAGATTTTTCATATAACCTTTAAACAACATAATTACCATACGCATTTTTAGTTAATTTAACTATTCCGGTTCTAAACGAAATTATTTTATATATTTATAAATTTATACATATATAATTACTCTAATATAGTTTCGTTTGGCTTTTAGTTTAATAATACATCTAAAACGCCTTTTTTGAATTCATCATCTGAATTAAGTACAGATTTTTCAGTAACATTAGATGCAAATTTGTTTAATGATAATTCAATAAAATTTTCTCTAATTGCTGTAAGAATATCTAACCTGTTTTAATCAGGCCCTTTTTCTAAAATATATTAAATAATATAATTTCCATATTAACATTAGCATAAATCAATTATTTTTTCCATTAGTTTTTCGAAAATTTTTTTGGTCTAATTATTTATTAAATAATAATAATCATATATAAACTATTTATTTTATTTTTTTTACTTCTCTAGAATCACTAAATTCTAAAATTCTTTATATAACTCTACAACCATAAGGGTGGAAAGCAAGTGTTTAAATCTTTTTTTTATTTTTGTTGTTGTTGTTAAAAAAAAAAAATGGTAATTGTATAATAATATTACATTTTAGATAACTTCATTTATAATAGGGAGAAGTTTTTTAGACTAAACTGTTTCAAAGAATTTTTAAATTACGTGATTACCATGTTAATCTTAAATGCAAGTCATAATTTTCTAGTTAAGTTCTTGAATTAAATCTTCTTACATATCTGGAGAATCTTTTAATTCTTCCAAAGCTTTTTAAATTACTCTACAGCCATAAGTATGCAATGATAATTCTTCTACTTTTCCTTTAATCATTTAATATAATATTTGTTTTTATTCCTTCGTTCCTTTTAATAATTTTAATTATATTATATTTTAGTTTTTTTTTTTTTTTATTTTTATTACCCTTTTCAAATAATTTTTAAATCACATAATTACCAAATTAGTCTTTCATTAAATTGAAAGCTTCTGGTAATATCTTATAAAAAATACTATTTTTTTCATCAAGTGATGCGGCTTCGAATTATTTTTAAATAGTTCTTGAAGAATTTTAATCTTTACAAGATTCAATTAAATGATTAAAAAGATTACTAAAATTATTATTATTATTATTATTAATATTATTATTATTTTATACATTTAGTTGTTTTTATTTTTTTTTATTATTATCAATGTTTTTGTCTAAATTTTTATTATTATCATACATAGGAGAGTTAATTTACATTTAATTGGCTTACATTTACAATTAAATTTATTAAGGAGGAAATTATGTATTAAACTTCATAGGTATATTAGGGTTTTAATTTAAATTATTCATATTAAATTAGTTTATTTATTACATATTTTACATAATATTTTAGTTTACATTTTAAGACATTCCTACAGGAATAGGTTGAAATAAGGGATTTTAACTATTGTTTAAATTAGGTGTTATCCCTGGAGGTATATTTTAAGGAAAATTAGAGTGGTGCTAATTAAATAAATTAAACTAGTTTTAGTTTATTATCTATTATTAGAATTAGAATTAAGGAGGAGGCATTTGTTAATGTATATGTTATGCTGGCATAGGTTACTTAGTATTTCTCTTGATTCTATATTATATAATTATTAATATAAATATAATATAAAATATATTATGATATAATAGTAATTATTTATTTTTTTAAAAAAAACTAAAATAAAATATTAACATTAATACTATTTATAATTTTTTATGTATTTATTTTTATTTAAATATTTTTTTTATATATATAATATTACGTAGGTTATTATATAACATTTTATTATGGGTTTTAAAATTAATTAATATGAATTTGTTACTATTATTTAATTTAGTACATATTTTAACTTTGTGTTTCATTAAAATTTTTTTTTTGCTAATTATTATAATTTTTGAACCCTTCATCATTACTTTATTAAAACATATTTGTATTCAAACCATTATTTTCAAATTCATTCATTAGTTATTGTTAAGATGTTTAATTAATATTTTAACTTATTTTCAGACTACTCATTAGTTAATTTATATCTGAATCAACATCTCGCCGGTATAATGGTTTTGGTAAACGAGGATTTTTCTACCTATTATAATAATCGTAATATTATTTATCATATAGATATTAATTCTCTTCTACTGTTCTTTATTATAAATAAAGGTCTGGAGGAGCTGATTTATTGGTATTTCTAAGTTAGATTATTTCGTCTTCTATATAATAAAATAGTAAATAAAAAAACTATATTTTATAATATATATTTATTTTTAAATGATTTTTTTATGAATATGATATCATTTTTTTAATTTAATTTTTTATTTAAAATTTACCATCTAATATTCCTCCCATAATTAATTGATCTTCATCTGCAAACACCTTAACTTGAAATCCATCATTTTTATTAAAATTTGCCATTATTTTTTTTATTTTTTATGAAAATCTAATATTAATTTCTTAATATATTAATTTAATTTTTTTTGCTTTACTTATTATTATTACTTTTTTAAAAAATAAAAAAAAGACTTAAAACACTTATATAAGAGTTTCTTATAAAATAAATATAAAATAAATAGTAATATAAAAATATATGAAATATATCTATTATATCGAAATAGATATTAATTTTTTATTTTTTATATTAAATACGTTTATAATAATTAATAAATATATATTTTCTTATTCTATTTTTTAATTAATTATAATATTTTGCTTTATACACTCTAAAATATAATTTATAAAAATTAATATTTAAAAATATGGAATAAAAAGTGACTCATTTTCATAATACTTTATCAAAGTTAGATTCTTTAATATATTAATTAGAAACAAATTTGGGAAAAAATCATTAACCTTCTCCTTTTAAATAAAACAATAATTAAATAACTAACACTAAAAATATTTAAAAGTCTCCATAAAAAGCAAATCCTTAGAAACCTAAAAAAGCCTAGGAGAATGTTTAAACAGAAGAAAAAAATAATTAATAACCTACATTTGAAGATTTTTAGAAAATAGACATAAGAGTAGGCAGAATAGTAGAGTGTTGGAAAGTATGATAGTTTAAATAAAAACATTTTAAATTTATAAATATATAAAAAGCATCCTGAAAGCGAAAAATTATATTGTGAAAAAGTTGACATAGGAAGTGAGGTAAGATTAATTGCCTCAGGAATACAATAGTACTAACCAATAGAAAATATGACTGGGTTGGTATTAGTAGTATAAAATTTAAAGCCTAAAAAGCTAGCTGGTAATCAAAAATTAATATTTTTAATTTTTAAGTTATAATAAGGTTTTGAATCACATGGAATGATATTATGTGTTTCAAATGCAGACCACTCTTAAGTTGAAATATTAAGGCCATCAAATGGCTCAGTAGTAGGAGAAAGAGTTTTTTTGGAAGGATAAGAAGATAAATTTACATATGACTTGTAAACACCTCTTAACCCAAAAAAAAAAGTTTTAGAGACTTGCCTTCCTGAAACTAAAATTGATAAAGATTATTTTGCTACTTTTTTAGGTAAAATATATTTTATTTTTAAATTTGATTACTAAATTATAATTGTAAATTTTATTTTATATTAATATTCTCTATATTTGTACTTTTAAATATTTTTTTTAATTATCAAACATATTTTTGCTTTATTTATATCAATATATTTTTATTTTATAAGGTAAAAAATGGATGACAAAATAAAGATATGTTAAGTCAGAAAAATTATGTTTGGCAAACATTTCGTGAAAAATTATAATAAAATATTTTTAATGTTTTAACGAAAATCTATTTATATTTATTATTTAAAATTTTTTCATAATATAATATTTTTTTTTATTATTAATACATCGTATTATTAATATTAAAATAATTATGCACATAATAATATATATATATTTTATAGTCATATTTTTTATAAATAATAAAAATTTTAACAATATAATTTAATTAAAAAAAACTTTGATTAATTTTTATCAATTTATAAATAAAAATGATGATTTTTAATTTTTTTATATAAAAATATTTCATATTTAAATTATATCTTTATTTTTTTTAAATTTTTTAATTAAAATATAATTGTAAAGCAAAAAATTAAAAAACTCGAATGTTATAAATAATATAATTATAAAATTAAATATAATGTAAAAATAATATTGAATTATTTAAAATAATAAAAGATAGAAATTTATCTAAAAATTATATAATTTTATCATTAGGTATATAGCCATATTTTAAAATTTCACAAAAACATAAATATATATTTAAATTAAATTATTAAAAAAAAGTAACGTGCGTGGAAAAATAAATAAATAAATAAAAAAGATAAAAATAAAATTTAAAAATATATATACAGAAATTAATTATATTTTTATGAAACTTATTTTTATTTTATTTCCCCTCACTTTAAAAAGAGATTTTTTTTTTTCAAAAATAAATTATAATATAATAAATAAATAAAATAAAAAATTAAGCAGTCCCTAAAGAACTCTTAAAAAAACAAAAAAATAAACAAAAATGAGAGAAGTCATATCAATTCACGTCGGTTAAGGTGGTATCTAAGTCGGTAATGCATGCTGGGAATTATTCTGTCTTGAACACGGAATCTAGCCTGATGGTTAAATGCCCTCAGACAAAACTATTGGAGGAGGAGATGATGCTTTCAACACTTTCTTCAGTGAAACTGGTGCTGGAAAACACGTACCCAGAGCTGTATTCCTTGATCTTGAACCAACAGTTATTGATGAAGTTAGAACTGGTACCTACAGATAATTGTTCCACCCTGAATAATTAATTTCTGGTAAAGAAGATGCTGCTAATAACTTCGCTAGAGGTCACTATACCATTGGAAAAGAAATCGTCGATTTATGCTTAGATAGAATCAGAAAATTAGCTGACAACTGTACCGGTTTATAAGGTTTCTTAGTCTTCAACTCAGTCGGTGGTGGTACCGGATCTGGTTTGGGATCTTTACTCTTAGAAAGACTTTCTGTCGATTATGGTAAAAAATCCAAATTAGGATTCACCATTTATCCCTCACCTTAAATCTCTACTGCTGTTGTTGAACCTTACAACTCCATTCTTTCTACTCATTCTTTACTTGAACACACTGATGTCTGTGTTATGTTAGATAATGAAGCCATTTATGACATATGCAGAAGAAACTTAGATATTGAAAGACCCACCTATACTAACTTAAACAGACTTATTGCTTAAGTTATCTCATCTTTAACTGCCTCATTGAGATTTGACGGTGCCTTGAACGTCGATATTACTGAATTCTAAACCAATCTTGTCCCCTATCCTAGAATTCATTTTATGTTATCATCTTATGCTCCCATTATTTCTGCTGAAAAAGCTTATCACGAATAACTCTCAGTTGCTGAAATCACTAACTCTGCTTTCGAACCTGCTAATATGATGGTTAAATGTGATCCCAGACACGGTAAATACATGGCTTGCTCTATGATGTATAGAGGTGATGTCGTACCTAAAGACGTTAATGCTTCTATTGCTACCATTAAAACCAAAAGAACCATCTAATTTGTTGACTGGTGCCCCACCGGATTCAAAGTAGGTATTAACTATTAACCCCCAACTGTCGTACCTGGTGGTGATTTGGCTAAAGTCATGAGAGCTGTCTGTATGATTTCTAATTCAACTGCTATTGCTGAAGTTTTCTCCAGATTAGATCACAAGTTCGATCTTATGTATGCCAAAAGAGCTTTCGTCCACTGGTATGTTGGTGAAGGTATGGAAGAAGGTGAATTCTCCGAAGCCAGAGAAGATCTTGCTGCTCTTGAAGTTATTACGAAGAAGTTGGTATTGAAACCGATGAAGGTGAAGGTGAAGAAGAAGCTTGATTAAGTTGAAAAATATTGCATAAATTATATTTTTTTATAAAAATATATTAATTTACAATTTTATATAAATATGTATGTTTTTGCTTTATATATATATCAAATCACGACAACACAACAAACATTTGTGTATATATTTGGCAAACAAAAATCATCTTTCTCTTTTTAAATATATGAAAAATAAAAATATTTTATATGTTAAAATTAATTTATATTTTCTTTAAAAATATTGTAAAATATATTAATATTAAAAAGCATTTTTCACTTTTAATAATTTCAAAATAATGCAGTATATGTATTTTTTTCTCCGTGCTTCCCGTTTTTGAAATAATATTTTTAAATGAGATTTTTTTATATCTAATATTTTATCTTTTTAAAATAAAAATTATTAAAAAATTAACAATAATATAAATAAAATGTTATTAGAACATAATTTTTCAACAAGAAAAGAAATTTTAGAAGCAAAAAAATTATTATATGAAAGAGATATTGATACAAAGAGAGCATTTAATTTTGTTTTGATATCTACAGTATAAAATAAACAAATACATAAATATATATACATTTTTATATTAAAATGATATATAAAAAAATTGATTTAAAAGTTTTCTTTACTTCTATTGTTGATATTAAGTTTCGGAGGTACATCAGATAATTGGAATTGTACCCTTGATACATCAAATTATAGTATATTAATAAATTTTAATTTGAAGAAAAAATAATAAAAAAAAAAGAAAATAAATATGTTTGTACAGAAGTGAGAAGGGTTATGAATTGTAAAACAGTTTCAGGCCCTATATCAGTAAATATAACTTTTTTTTAATTTAAAATGGATTTAATAAAAATAAAAAAGGGTATTGTAAAGTTAAATGTTAATTAAAAAATAAACGCTACAGCCGAAGTACTAATATATATATTAATTTTTATCATAAAATAATAGATATCGTGTCCTTGGGAAATAGCTATTTCAGAATTAAGAGTATGCTTCATATTTATGTCGATAATTTGCATGGGATTAGCGTTTGTAGCATTAAAAGAAGAAAATAAAAAATATGCAGATATACACATATCTTCTGCATTATTTTTATCAGTTTTGATGGTATTTATATAATATTTAGATAGATTCTATAATTTAAAAAAAATAAAGGTTATTTCAAGTTTATTTGATTATTAATCCATTTTAAATTCTTAAACAAATAATTATAACTTATGTAATTTAAAAGATGATTTTTCTGTAGATGATGGAACTAAAGCTGAAATTGATTGCGGATTTAAATATTATTATTTCACTGTTGTTACTGAAATAATTTGTGCTTTTTTTATTGTAAAATATAAATTATATTTAAAAATAAATAAAATAAGAATATAATTAATATTTCTAAATAAAGTCTAATTTGTTTTTTTTAAAAAAGAAAAACAAAAATAATTATATTTATTTTTTTATGAATAATTTATTATATTTTTTTATATTTTTAAGTTCTGCAGCAGTTAATTTGTAAAAAGATGGCAATAAAGTATTAAAAAAAATGATGTTTTATGATTAAATATTATATAATATATTTTTTATTTATTTTGTAACTTTCAATTAATACATTTTTTAAAACTTATTGAATTGTTTATATTTTATTTTACTTTTACTTTTAATAATAATTAATTATTCAAACTAAATAAAAAAAATATATATTTATAAACTATTTTTTTTTTTTTTCAATTATTTATTATTTATTTAATTAATTATCTATATACAAAAAAATTATCAATTAAATTTTATGAATATTAATAAATGAAAAACAATATAATTTAAAAATAAAAATTAAATTAGTAATTTATAAAGTTTTATAAAAAATTTAAAGTAATAAAATAATACAGATATTTAAAAAACATACAAATTTAAAAGAGTTGACTAAATAAATGGGTTAAAATTAAATTTATTTAATTTAATTAAAATCTTTTAACAACAACTTTTTTATATAAAATAAATTATTTTATAAATATTAAAAATTAATTAAAGATATTTAAAGTTTTAAAGTTAATAAAAATAATTATAATTATTTAAAATAATGATTCTTATTAAGGACTTAAATTTATAAAAAAAAATATATAAAATAATATATTTTTAAGTATTTCTTATTTTTCATTTTTCTAGTTCTTCGAATGTTTATACTCCTCTAAATTTACTATCGTCCAAAAACTATTCTGCCCCTTAAGGGAAAGAAACTGGCTAGACACATAAATCTGCAATAGTTTTATGATTACCACTAACAACCAAATCCAATTTATTTTTAATAATTGTTTCCATATTGAAAAATTCCCAATTATAAAATTTTTAGGTTAGCTTTAAAGCTAAATCATGTGATAAATAAGCTAATTTAGGTGGTCTTCCAGTTATATTTGCTAATATTTCATAAATTTCTAATCTGCTATATTAATGAGGCCCACCTATATAAATTTTATATTTTAAAAAAAAGAACTTTAAAAACCTAATTCGTAAATTTATCCTGCAGATTCTTAAATTTTCAAAGAATTCATAACTGCTTAACAAACATCATTTATTAATATTGGTTATCTTTTAGCTGTGCAATCATCAGTTACTATGTTAAAATGATGCCACCATTCTCTTTCTTTGATCCAATGACGAGTGAAATAATCTTACATGCCATAAATTGTAGTAGGACGCATAACAGTTGCATTTGGGAAAATATTCAATACAGCTTCTTCTCCGTGGAATTTTGTCTTAAATATTATTATAAGCATAAAAATGTATTTATGTATTTTACTTAAAGATCAGGTGAAGGAGATTTAGGATCAGCTTTATAGTTTTTTGTTTATATTATAAAATAAAAATTAATAAAAGTTTACCTCCACAAGCTGAGAAATGAATAAGCCTTCTAACGTTAGAGTTTCTAGCACATGCTTCAGCAATTTTTTTTGCAATATGTATATTAGCATAAGCAGCTTATTTAAGATCTTTTACTTACAATCTAGATCCAACTAAGTTAATTACTACATTAGAATTTCTGATTGCAGCATCATACATTTTATCATCATCAAAATTAAAATGTTTCATTAAATAGCTTTATCCAGTTCCTGCACATAATTTTAATTCTTTGACATAATCATCATAATCATATACATGAGCATGAGGGAAGATAACATCACTACCTATATATCCAAGATAAGCACCAACCTGTTTTTATAAATTTAATAATAAATTAAATTCAAATATCAAATAAAATTTAAAATTATAATAAAAATGAATAATTTTTTTAAAAAAATATATGCAAAATAATGTTAGTTTGCTATATATTTTTATTTAATTAAATATCTAATTTTAGGTTGTCTAAATTTATTCTATTTTAGATCTTAATTAAAATATTCATTTTTATAAATTATATTCTCAATAAATTATTTATTTTTATTATAAACTATTTTTTATTATATAATTTTACATATGGCCCTAAAAAGCCTGTCGCACCAAATATTGTTACTCTAAGTCCTGAAATTGATACTCTATTACCTTTATCGTAAAATTTGAGTAATGTTGATCTTTCAGAAAAATTTTTAATTGCTATTTAATTTAAATTTTTTTCTAATCTTTGCTATTTTTTAAAAAATATTAAAATAAATATAATAATTCATTTTATAAATATTTTTGTAATTTAAATTTTTATTTAAACTTTTAATATATTATATTTGTTTAATAATTTACGTAAAATTTCATATTTATCATTTATTTGAAGTTTTTTTCTTCTTATTTATAATATATTAATAAAAAAATATATAATATTAAATATATCTAGTTTATATAATTTTATTTAATTTTTTTTTTTTTAGTTTATAATAGTTAATATTTATAATAATTTAAATATATATTTTAATAATGTTTGTTAATTAATATATAATTAAATAATTTATTTATAAAATTTTTATATTATAAATCATTTAATAAGCCTTTTTTTCTATTTTTTATTAAAAAAATAAATTAATAAATATTTTTATATTTAATAATATTTTTATTAAAAAATATGTTTAGATATTAATATATTTAACTTTATAACTTTTTTAAATAAGTTAAAAATATATTTAAGATAATATTTTAATTCATAAAACATTTATTGAGATTTAATATAATAATATTATATTTAAATAAATGCTTTTATTTTACTTATTTTTTAAGACTATTTACAAAAAAAAATTAGTATATATAAAATAATAAAAATTATAACTAATATTAAATATATAAAAATATATTTATTATAAAAAATAAATTTATGAACTTTATTTTTTATTGTATTATTGTAAATATTTTATATTATATTTATATTTTAGATTTTGTTATAATTTTTAATTTCTTTAATTTTTTAAGTCCACTTTTTCATATTTTTTGTTTCAATTTTATTTAATAATAAATAATTTTTTAATTATTTTAACTATTATTATTTTTTAATTTCTATTTTTATTTTGATATAGAATTTAAAAATATATAAATTATAAGAATTTTATACTTATAATTTATCAAAATAAATTTTAAATAATATTCAGTAAATTAATATTTTTCAAATTATTATACAGTTTTAATAATTTTAGACGCACAAACAAATACAATTTTTAATTTAATACTTTATGATAAATTTAAACCTTAAAAAATATATCCAATATAAACTTAAGCTTATAAGAAGATAGATTTTGAAGAATTTCTTTGCTAAAATAAGATTAAAATTCATTAATTTAATTAAATGTAATTATTTTTTAATTCTATTTAAATACTATCAAATTTATTGAGAAAAAACATAAAAATAAATATGAAATTAAATTAAAATAAAATAAAATAAAGTGATGAATAATATGTTAATGATAAGCTTTATAATTAAAAAAAATACATGTGTAGATTTATTTATAAAATATCTGCTTAATAATTAAAGTAACTTTACAAAATTAAAAATTAGAAAAAAGGAAATTTAAATTAAATATTTGATATTAGATTCAAAAAAAATGCAATAAAAAAATATTATGAAAAATAAAAAATAAAATAAATTTATCATATCTTTTTATAAATATAAATAAATAAAAATCTATTTTAAATTATTTAAAAATATATAGAAAGTTTATATTAATTTTTTATTTTTATTTACTATTATTTTTAATTATTAGATTATTTTGTTTTTTATATTAATTTGTATATTGATTCTTTTAAAATGAATTTATTTTTATATTTTATATAATATTTTTATTTTTTCTAAATTTATAAATATATTCATTTGTTCTTTACAAGCTCATAAAATCTATTATCTACTTATTTTAATAGTTTAGGCTATTCATCTTCAGGCATTACATCTATTATAATGTTAAATATATATATATAAAATAAATTAAATTAAATTTAAAAATACTTAAGTTTTGCGGCGTTTTAAAAATTATAATTTTAACGTCATCATCTTCATAAAGATCTAATGGTTCATAAGGTAGATTATTTCCAACAGTAATAAACATACTATATTCAGTATTATCATTTAAATTTTCAAAAACAATATCGATTTTACCAAAGTTGTCTGTTTTTTTTTAAAAGAAATATTTTTAAGGCACTTTAATATTACTTTCATCAGTTCCTCTAAATATTTGAGTAGATAATGGTTTAATATTATTATATTTACCAGATTTTAAAATTGCAAAAACTTTTCCTATTTCCCATAATTTAAGAGAAAATTTAGCTGTATAGAATCCAATATTAGTAATTTTTGTTTCTTTAGATATAGTTGGTGATCCTATTTAAATTCTATAATTAATGATATTTTAATTTATGTCATATTCAGGAAGAAGTTATTTAAGCTTTTATTAAACTTTCTTATCTTCAACTAATTTATTTGCATAATATTCGGGAGTCGGATTATCATTTTAAGAATTAGGTGAGATACATACATAATAATTATAACTATTTTTAATCATAATTTAAGGATTAAATTTCATTTATTTTTCAAGTAAATCATTAACATCAGTTTAAGATGTAAATCTATTCTCTGGGACTCTTAAAGTCATAGAAAGTGCCTTTATAAGTTTTTCAATAGTTATTATTTCTTTTAATGGAATGGCTATATTGTATCCTTAAGAAAGTTTTTTTGTTTTAAATTTAAAAGAAGATATATTAGAAAAACCCATAGTATTTGATAAAAAGACATATAAATTATAATTATTTTAAGCTTCCAATCTATTAAGAGTAAATTAAATTGAGTGTTCAACAAAACTACCCCATTTTGTTTCAATAGTATTATTTAAGTAACCTAAAGCATATTAATATTATTTATTCATTATTTGCTATACACTTTAAGGTTAAGGAGATCCCTAGAAACTGTATGTTATATAAACTATAGCTTTTGATGATGCATAAACTTAGAAAGTTTCAGAATTTGCAATAGATAAATCGGAAAGTTACTTAAGGGAAATTATTTTAGGAGAAAATATTTCATGCTTTTATAAAATTAAATTAGAATCTTAAAGAATAGGATTTATAAGCTTTTAATTCAAATCTTTTAAAGGGGTTGGATATTTATTTTTTGATAAGTTAATGTGTAATGGGTAATAATTATATTAGTTTTCCCTGCTTAATGAAAACGAAAGATATTTTACTGAAGGGATGAGTGTATGAACAATTTAATAAAATGAACTTAATGAAAACTCAATTGTTGCTGGTTGTGAAGGAGTCTATATAGCTTTTATTGTAATTTCAAAAAATGCTGAAGTTGTTTCTGGATATATTTATAGTTTTTATGGTGAAATTATTATAGTATCCTTATATATTTCTTCAATAACTTAAATGCTTAACTCAACTAAATTAGCTGGAGGAGTAGAAATTTAAACAGGAATTCGAATAGGATAACCTAAGGTATCCGATTTTACATCATTGATAGTTATTGTTGGATATTATTGAGTTTTATCATATAAAGAAATAACCCGGACTTTTTCTGATGTAATTGGTAAGTAAAATTAATTTTAAGAAAGCTCTACTTTATTAAAGTGTATGATATATGTATCTGGTAGGACGTCTGATCTAACTTTGACTTAGAAAGATACTTCATTTTATAAGAAATTATTTAATTCAATACTTTCAGGAGAAAATTTTATGCCTTTAATACTACAATTTGGAATAATTACAAGTTAATCAGCTGGTTGGGAAAGTAAAAGTTTAAAAGTATAGGAAAGACCTGGAAGTAAAACTTTTGGTCCTGTAACAAATATATCGTACCCACTTTGTTTAAATTCAAGACAATTTCTACTGTCTATATTAGGCGAAGTTGCAGCAATATAATCACCTTAAGACATCAAAAGAAGACGGACTAAATATTAATTTTAATTTCCATAACTGCATTTATGCTCAACGTCTGGGTTCATTAATTTATTTATTACAATTGTAAACTTTCTAGAATATAATTTTGTCATATCAATATTTTAAATGAAAATTTCTAGTCCATAAATATCACAAAATACTTATATATCAGGCATGTTTTTAGACCTTATTATACATGAACCCAAAGGTTCGTATATTTATGGAGCAACTTCTGCATATAAATTTGATGGTAATTATATACTTATACCTATATTTGGATTACGTATTATCTCTTATTAAGCTTCTAAAGTAAATTCGTATTTGGAAAAAGTTCTTAGTTCTTATGTATCAGTTTTTATTTCTAGCATTTTTAAATAAGGAGGTGGTTAAGATACTAAATACATAAGATAGTTTTTATAGTGCCATGTTATTAGAGAATCTTTTTCGTATATAATTTAAAATGTGTTTTATCTAAATTATTATGATGGATTTATAACATTTTAGATAATCCAATAATACCAATATTTACTAACGTCTTAATAATATTTTGAAATTTTATCTGCAGAAATTGATATTTCGAAATCATCACTTAATTCACATTTTAAATTAAAATAATTCTAAGGTTTATTTCTTCCTTAAGTCATTTCTAAAATTCCTTTATAATTAATAAATGATTCATCGAAATTAAATTATATAAATGCTCCACATTTCAAAGGAGAAGAAATATATTTAGCAAAATGATTTTCAATTTTTGGGAATATTATTTTCGCTTTATCTATTTTTTAATTTAAGTATTAATTTTAAATAAGTGCAGGTATTCTAAATATATAAGTTGAAATTTGTCCTCCAGTTTTTTAAATATTAAAAAGTTGAACTTATAAATTATTAGGATTCTATACATCTGGGCTTAAAGGGGTTTGTTAAAATTTCAAGCCGTATTAATTTCCTTAGACTGAATATGCTTCAGCATATTTAAGTCCATAACTGTAAAAAATTGCAGAATAAAAATAAATGGGATCAACAATTTAAGGATTTACAAGATTTACTTAAATGGTAAAACCATTTTATGATGGAATACCTCTTACTTTACAAGTAAGTATATATCTCATATCTTTTGTAGAAGTAAGGAAACATTTAGAAGACATGAGTGTGTTCGCTTCTAAACTTTTAGCTTATATTTCTGCGTTTTTTGGATTTGTTTATCTATAATTATTATTTAAAACTATTTCTATATCTGTATTTTGACGTACTATATCTATGCATTAAAGACGGAAAGTGTAAAGTGAATCTTTTCCAGCATTCGAAAATTCAGTATCTACAAGAATAGTACATTTTTTGATAGAAACGGGTTAAAATTTAGGGAAAGGAAAATCTTTTTAACAAACTTGTCTATTTAGATAAATATTCTTATCATAATACGAAATTATTCTAAAATTATACTCTGATTTTTCATATGTTGATATATTACTTTCATTAGGTGAATTAACATTTGAAACAACTACACCATATTAATTATTTTCATTATATTAAAATCCATTAAGAAAAACATCTACTCTATTAGATGAGCCTATTGCACATGAAACTTTACTAGTCTCAGGGAAGTTAAGTGGATTACATTAAGCTTCCATTGTATAAAGATTATATTTGTAAAGAGACGGGAATACTATACTTACTGCTCCTTGGTCATCAGGTATTTAATGTCCGATTTTAAAGTAAAATTTGTAAGCCATGCCATTATGACCTCCAACTATTATATCTGGAGCTACATAAACTAAAGGAAAAGAAGAAATGCATGCTTCAATATTTCTAGTTAGTTTAAATTCATAAGTTTTAAGTAACGGTCAATTTCTACCCATGCAGCTATACTTACTGGTTATGATTGGGAATAAGCTGGATTTATAAGATTTTTTATTACAACTGTTTTATCACCTGATATGGGGTCTGTTGGTTATATGTATATCATGTTGGATATACCAAATACAAATATATCTGTTGCTTTTTTTCCGTCTACGATTGCTTCTACGCTTGAATAATCACTAAACCTATAAAAATAATCTTTCGGGAACCTAAAGACGATATAATCAGTTTTTTATATTAAAGGTATTCCTTTGAATTTGAATGTATATTCAAAAGTGTCCCATACTTTGTTTGTTTTATTGTCAATTATAGGATCCATTTATATTATTTCATTAGGAATTGCTGGGGCTCCGCTAGGCAATAAATCTAATACTGCTTTGTCAACTATGGTTGGATTTAGTGTACTCTTTTTTATTTAATTTATGTATTATAATAAATATATTTTAATAAAAAATTAATTAAAAATTACCAATGGATCATAAACGTAAGGTTGATCATTTTTTTTTTTTTAATAGAACTTAACTCCAACTTTTATATTTACTTATTCAAATTATTAAAGGGTCTGAATATCTGTAATATATATAACTACTGACTAATTAATAGGTATTGCTTCATAATCCTAAACAATAATTTTAGGAAGATCTTCAGGACCAGTTCCAACTTTGAGAGTGCATCTAAGTCTTTTTTTAACAGTAGTTTTTAAAGTCGGAGAAACACAACCCAATTAATCTCCTGTATCTAATCCAGTACCTAGATTTTTCAAAAAACCCTAATTAGTTTCAAACATAAAGTCGATAGATGAATATACAGTTGCAAATTAAGAATCATAACCTGCTGGCACTGCTATTTAATTACCGATTTTAAATTTAAATATGTATAAACTTTTTCTAGCAAAATCTAAATTTGATATTATTTTATAATCTAATTCAGGCAATAAGAATCCAACAACACTAGCCATATTTATTGTAGTTTTTTCTAAAAGACGGTTTCCAGAATAAAGATTAGCTGTTATATTATATTTATTTCCTGGCATTAAAGGAGATTTGAGGAAAACTTTAGTTAATTTTATGTCTGCATTATCCTGTATTTTTATTATTTTTACTGAATGGTCATAATCATTATTCGGTATTACTGTTATGTAAGTCCTTGCAAATTTACGTTCTAACATACAAAGTTAAGCTTTTTCATCTGTTTTTCCAATAATTCTGCAATCGTTAAAATATTAGACTGGGGGATAGTTAAACTCTTCGGGAATTCTGAATAATATTCTATCAACTTTAAATTAGTTTACGGAAGTTTTTGGTTATAATAGCATGTATAATTCCACATCTTGATTTGGCCGAGCTTTTCTGTCATAAAAACTTAAAGTGTTAAAAGTAAGTTCCTTTAAATTCGGTTGTATATATGGGGAAATATTAATTGCTTTGCAGGTTAAAGTAACTCCTTCATATTCATCTAATTAAAATAGTTTATCTAAATTGGTATTAAGTATAGTTGCTACACTTGTACTAATCCAAAAACAGTCAGTCTCAATAGGTTATTAAAATTCTTTTATAAAAAATTTTAAATAGATTTACATTTCTAATGTATCGTGTTTTCCTTCTTCCCATTTAGGTATTGTTTCTGTTAACTCCAAACCAACAATTCTATCTAAAACTACGCAGTTAAAATTACTAGGATATGGTTTATGAAGAACTGTATCTATTATTGTGGCATTACAATATCTTTTATCGTAAGTATCTATTTGCCTTGGTAAAGTTATCCAGAATGTTTTTATATTTGAGTATCTCCATAGACCTTTTATTTTTATTTATGCTATATTCCAAAAATCGGACAACCAATATTTATTTATAAATTCAGGTTCTAAAGGAGTTAAAGTTGGTTAAAATTCAACTGAATATTGTGGATAAGGTTTTCCTAAAGGGTCATTATTTATTTACTTATTATCATATTCATATTTTAATCCTTCTGTTGTATAAGCTTATACTAAATTACCACTATTATCCCAATATTCTATGTTGAAATTACCTGCATATCTATATAGTCCATTATTCATTTGATCTATACTAAAGTTTACATGATTTGCAGGTAAAGCAGCTGAAATAAAGGAATTATTTATTTTTACAATTACTTAGCCTAAAGTAGGAAAAATAAAACATTCATCTGGGGCTTAGCAAATTTCACTCATTTCAGAATTATTATTTAATGTGTAATATATACATATCCAATCTCCTACTTTAGGTGCAGAAGAAAATCCTAAAACTATTTTATGCTTAACTGATTTTGAATGAGTTGTTCCTTCTGCTGTCAAACTATTTTAATAGTTACTTGGTTATGGTGCATATATTGTTGCTTTAATTGAGTTTGGTTAGAAAAAACTATAATTTATTTGTCTTGCTACTAAAGGAAAATCCTTAGGATCTTATAAAGCTTTTGTTCTTATACTTAATTTTACTCCTACTACTAGTGTTGTATTTGGAGGATTTTTTATCCCTGCAATTAAAATATCAATATTATTACCTTTAGCTATGTCTTTGGTAATTAAAATCCGGATCTTAGGCCAAATATTTCTTAGACCATATTCTCCTCTCTGGAATAATTCACAAATTAGTTTTTTGTCTGAAACTATTTTTCTTAATTTCTCTGTGCAATCTAGAGTTTTTCTTTTGTATGTTGTACCTTTTTTATATTTTTTTATAAATTTATTAATTTAAATTCTATTTATTTAAAAAGATAAAAACCTAAGTAATCGCCAGAGGCTTAATCATAATCCCAAGCACCTCGTTTGCTTTCAAATTCTATCCAAATTTCATCATTTAATTTAACTTCTACTTACGTAATTACTTAAATTCTATAAACTGTCCAGTGACTATATTCTTTATGTAAGGCAATGAATTTAAAATCTGCTGCTTTTATTGGCAACGGATCTTAAACATAATATATTCTTTTATATTCTTGTTATAATGAAGCTTGAATTGCTTTTATGAAGAATAACATATATTTATAGTTCGTTGTTTTTGGATATTTGTATGTTTATTAAAGTTAGAATCCTTCAATTATAGCAGTATATTATTGGTTAGCTTATATTTAATAATCAATATTTGATAAAGGAAAAGTTAATTTCATTGTATTTTCAATACTTTTTATATCTGGAGAATATACCTTTTTTATTAATTTTATTTAATTTTTAAAATATTAATTAAAAAAATAAAATATTACCCAATATGCTTAATTTGTTTTCTAGTAACGTAAATAAAATTCAGTTGGTGTTAAAGCAGGAGTAGCTGCTGCTGGCGATTGAAAATCATTTGGAATAGTAATCTCGACTGATTAAATAGAGTTTGTACTTAATTTAAATTAAAAAGATAAGGGACCTACTTATTCACTATCAATATATTTTATATATTAATAATTTTCTTTTATTCCAGTTATTAAAGGTAACTCAACAGTTTGATCTGATAAATAAATATTATTTGCAGAAGAACCCCATTAATTATTTAGAGTTTAACTTTCTGTAACTCCACCATTAGGTCCTTTTACCTATAAAAATAAGAACTTTAATAAAAAAATATAAATAATAATTGTACTTCATATTTTATATAAAAGTTAGCAGGCAAAAGTATTTTTTTAATTTTGTAACCTAAAGTTATTTAGATTATAGAAGTTGAAGTAGAAGGATTTATTTATTTAAATCCTGTAATTTCATATTTACAAGTTTTTTCAATTCTTTTTATTTTTATTATTTAACCATCTGCTGCATCGAATTTGGTAGTATTTGGGATTAAAACAGTTGGTGATTATTCAGCTGTTTATTACAAAAATTTATAATCTAAAGGAAGTGCAGGTTCGAAAATATCATATGGCAGTTCCAAAGTTATTGTTGAACCTTCCAAAATAGTATGTTGATTGTATACAACAAATTTTAGAAAGCCTTCTGAATATAAATTAATTCTACCTCTAGATATTGCTATTGAGTATTAATTTTGGTCAGGTTTTTATTTTTATATTGGCTTTGTAGGAGCAGAATTACATACATTTATAGTATCTTAACCAAAATTTCCAACATAAACATTTGTAAAAGCAAGGTCGATAATTTCATTTCCTACTTTAATATTATTAAATGAAAGTTCCAAATTTCCAGAAACATTACTATTTACTTATATCATAATTATTCCTGTTAAAGGGAAATAAATAAATGATAAAACTCCTGCTATATTTAAATTAGTAAAATCAAAATTATTTATTTATGGAACTTTCATTAAAGGTTTTACCATAATATATCCTTAATTAGCAAGTTATATTGTTTTGGAAATCGAAGATAATTTAAACTAAAGTATATTATCACTTTTTTCAATAAAACGAGAAGTATCAAAATTAATAGATACAGTGCATGAAGGCACAGCAAATTTATTGAATTTTAAATTACTAATGAAGTATTATTATGCGATTATTATTGGATTTTAATTTTTTAATTTCGAGTTCCATTAAACAATTTATATTTTTACAAATATCTAACTTTACTTTGCAGGATTTTTAATATAAGGAATCTAAATCTTATAATTAGTATCTTTTGTATATATATTTTTGTAAAAATGGACAATTCTAAATGGGTTTTCCCTATTGTCTTAACCAAATTAAGCTATACATTTACCTATACTTTTATCTGTATCTGCTAAACAATCGTGCTATTTTCCATTATAGAAAACAATTTCATCAGCTTTATATGATTGTATTAATTATTAACCTACATTTTCCCAATTCATATGATTTAATTCTATGTAAACAGTCTAATCTATTCCTGAACCTGAAACACTTTACAAACTAAATTATACAGTAAGATAATTGAATTATTCTTAAGTAATACTTGCATATTGAGTATTTAATTATTTAAAAGGATCCTTAAAGTTAACATATTAATAATCTATATTATCCATAGTTAATCCATATGTAATAACTATTTATTATTAAGCAGGTACTTTTAAGTTTTTTACGAAGTTTAACGTTTGTTTTGTATGTTATCCTTTTATTAAATATTTAGTATCTTTTTCTAATGCAGATAAAGGAGGTCTAAATTAAAAAATATTTGGTGTAGCATCATTATAATTTAATTCCATAAAGTAAGGCATACCAAATTCAAATTAACTAACTGATTTTTAAGCCAAGAATTAGCAAAAGTCTTTATTAGCCGTATCTATTTAAATTATTTAAGTATTTAATTAAATCTTTATTATAGGCGCAGAAGAAGAAACACTATATTCAAGCTTTTCATTAAATTATAATAAGAAATTCATTTATTTTATGTTAAAATCTACAGATGGAGTGATGTATGTAATCTACCTTTCATAATAATTATTAAAATATTTCTTTAAAGGAAAAATTATTGAAGGGAATTAATTCATTTAAATAGGTTTAATTAATATTTATTATTAATTAATTACTTATGCTTCCCAAAAATAATATGTGTCAGTTTTTTTTATCTTAGCTTTTACTTCATATTCAATTGTTGTAGTAGTTTTTAAACCACTGCTTGGAAGAACATACATATATAATGTTAAAGTAGTCCATGACGTTGGTTTCGGAGCTTCATCTAGTCCTGTTATTTAAATTGTTAAGTCTCCAGTTATTGAAACAGGTAAAGATCTACCCATATAATCTAAATTTAAACATTCTAGGAATTTTTATATGCCTTAAACAGCTTTTATCTCTAGTAATTCAGCTTTTAATTCAAATATCTATTTATACGCTTCATGAGAAGATCCTAGACTTATTTATATTTGTAATAATACTTTTGTATTTTAATTATATATCTCAACTGTTGATCGGTTTATTACACTTTTTATTATTAATTAACTAGTTTTAGGTTTGAAAGTTGAAAAGTTGGGTTGATTTATAGTAAATTTTTAAATTTTTGTAGAATCTGTACTTTTATATTAAAAGAATTCGTATATTATCGTAGGAGGGAGTGTTTTTTCATAAAAATTTTATTAATTAGAAGTAGGATTTACCAAGTTTTAGACTTTTACAGAAAAATTATCTATACTACTAATTAAATTTGTTCTGGCTACTTATCCATAAAAACATTTAGTTTTAGGATTTTTCCATAATAAAGCATACTCATTATTAATTGTAGCACCTGATACCTAGAGTGATTCATAAAATACTTATAAATTATCTATTGAATTTAAAGGTTTTTTATCTTCTTTAATTAAGAAAAAACCATCATTTGCACATATTTTCACTTTATGCTTTTTGTCATTCATAATATTATCCTATAAAGGATTTAATGGAGTAGCCTAAGATAATAGGAATTTATTTGAATCTATTTGATAATTAAATTAAAATTAATCTGAATTTTATGTTTATAAATTAAAATTTGATATTTGATCACTTTTGTCAGCTGAATCTTAAATTTTAATTACATAGGGGAAAAATTATCTCAGTACTTGAGTTTCTTAATAAACATTTATAGCAGTTTAAGAAATTAAAATTAATTATGCAGTAAATGATAAGAATGGAACAGTAACTAAATCAGGTAGGATAAAATCATCAATTGATATTGATATTAATTTATTTGCAAATAAATTAACATTTCGTATTCTTATTATCAGATCTTTATCTTAATAATTAATTTAATCTCCTTCATAAGAGTATTAAATATGATTTTAGTGATTTTTAGAAGCTTTACTATTAATGCTATAAATAGAACATTCTTAAATTTGAGCAACAAAGCTATCTGTATACAACTAACATGGAATAATTTATCCTAAATTTTTATAAATATTAATTAAATATTTATTTTTTAAAATATAATTTCTTTTATAAGTTATTATTATTACCTTCATAAGCAGTAGCTCCAAATGCTTCTTATACATTAATTTGGTGGAATATTAATTCTAATAAATACAAGTCATCTATTTTTGTAGATAAAGTAAAAGCTTGTTGCGTTTGCAATTATATATACATAGATGTTTTATCTGATTTTAATTTAGAAGTCAAATAAAAATTTTATAATTTAATATAATTATTAATATTATTCATGTTATTAATGGTAATGTAGTTTTGAAAATATAAAATATCAATAGCTATATTATCAAAACCTTTAAATATAATTTTATAATCTTTTTTAATAAAAAATCCAGAATTAGTTAAGAATTTAACTTATAATTCATAATCAGTATCATTATTTAAAATGGCAGCCATTGTAGGATTGTCAGTAAAAATTTCAATTATTAAATCAGTTTCTTTATAAATTTAGCAATATTATATATTTATAGCATTTTGTATTTTTGAAATTTAAGTAAGTGTACATTAGCCATTCATAGTAGAAACATCAATAAGTGATGCTGGTTTAACTGGGACTGAAGGATTATCTAATAATGCATTTTCTAAAATTATTTTAAAACCTTTTAACATATTGAGTTAAGAATCTCTTATTAAAAATCTAAGCGGAGCATCTTCCAATACAGTTTTTAATTAAAATTTATTGTACTTAACATTTAAACCTGTAGTCTTATTATCATAATCTTGAATCATAGTATCTGGTGGAAATTTAATCTTAACATTTAAATTGTCTTATATATTATTTATATCATTTAATTAACCTAAAACTATTTTTTTAAAAAAAACCATTATTATTTTAAAAAAAAATATAAATAATACTTTTTCTTTCAGGAAAACTATCCAAACATACAATATCTAATGTAATTCTGAATTAATCTCCAAATAATGCATTAATTCCGAAAACAATTTTATTATTTTAATAATCACATTAAGTTTATAACTTTCCATTAATTCTGCAAACTAAAGAACAAGGTTTACTGTCAAATTATACATTATTAGCATCATTATACTTATCTAAAGCATCTTTTAAAGTAGGAATAAATTCTATATTCGTTATTGAATCTATAATAAAATCTTTTGCTGGAGCCAAAACATTTTCAATAATTAATGTCCCATAACCAGAACCTAAATTATCTTCTGTTTCCATATATCTATCGTCAATAATTTCAAATTTATCAAAAGGTTTTCCTGATGGTAAATTTGTATAAGTAGCACTGACTTTAACTGCAAATTTAGATTTTCCAACAAGGATTACAGAAGAAGGTTCTAAATCTCCATCCCAAGTGAATAATTCAATACATTCATTATCGAAATCAATTGAAGTTGATTAAGGTTATAGGGCATTACTTCTAGTTACTACTTAAATATTTTTAAAATCATAATTAGTTATTTTAGTAGTGTCAAAATATATATGTATAGCATTAAGTTTTATAAAACATTTTGTAACTTCAACATAGTCTAAAATACTATCCTAATAATTAGTACAATCAAAATTATTTACAATATATCCAGTTGCACTTACAGGTAATTTGATTGTGATTTTTTTAGCACCTTATAATTTAATCTTATTTATTTAGAAAATTACATTTTAATCAGTTTTTATAAGTGAAATATTAAGGCTAAAAATTTTTAGTTAAATATCTGTTTAATCTATATCTGTTGGAGGAGTATTGGCATCTTTCAAATATTTATATTGCATTAAATAACTTTGTTATTTTAAATTGATTAGAGCACTTGCCCATCCCATTATTTTTAGTTAATCTGCTGTATAAAGGATAGATTGTTTTTCGAAAACGAAAACATCTTTGAATTCAATGAAATTTGTAGCAATAGGACTTGTAAGTTAACAAACAAGCATTTTATTATTAATTAAGACATATATATTTCCGACTGAACAAGACGGAGATGCACTTGAAAGAGGTAGATAAGGCAAATTAAATTACACTACAAAATAATATTTTTCAATATTGCTAATTGAGGCTGATAAAGAGAATTTTAAAGTGATATTATTATCATATTTTGATGGATCAAAACTATCATTGTTATAGATTTTAGCAGATGATATTTCAACAACGAAATATGAAAACTCTAAAATACTCCAATTAGTTTTCGGCAATTTTCCTTTAGTTTAAGTATAAACAATGACAGGGATATACATTTAATATAATAATATATTAGGATTCTAGACATGAAGAAATAGCATTATTCTATCAGAAGTACTAATGTCTGCATTAAAAAAACATATAATTTTGCTTGCAATATTATTTGCTGAAAGTCCCCTTGATATTCTACATGTTGCGATTAAATTAGCTTTTCCTTAAACATCAGCTGGAATTTTGTTTAAATTCTCATAAGAAGAAAGACCTAAATCGTCATCAAAAACAGATGTACCATCTAATGATTTTGTATTTAATTCTATTATTAGGTAATCATAATCCACAGCAATTTTGACTTTGGGAGTAAAAGTAAATATTAATAAATTGGATTAACCTGATAAATTATTTGTAGAAATCAGTTCTAGAAGTGTAAATTCTTCAGGATATATTTCTATGTATTCAATATGGTAATTAGTTTAGGCTTTAGATGATATAATAACATTGAAAATGCCTGTATTGGAAGGCCAAAAGCTTGTTAAACCTGATAAAACGCCTGTAGTTTTATCCTATAAACCCAAAGTAATGACATAGTCTTTATTAGGAATTAGTAAATTGGTCTCTATTTCACATTTAATAGTTATGTCATTTGATAAATTAGGTGCAGCAATATCAGTTAAATAATTATTAAAGTTATAAAATAAAGGAATTGTAATATCTGGATTATCAACATTTTAAGCAAAACAAACGATACTTTCTCTATTTGCAAATAAAGATTTAAATCCTTAAATAGTTCCAGAAACTCTCTAAAATACGAAAGTAATATCTTATTCAAGATATTAAGAATTTACTTAAACTTTAAAAAAACCCTAATAATTAATTTTTAAAGGTTCTGATTGTTACAAAAATATATTTCCATCAATAAAGGAAGCAGGTTTTCCAATTGTAAAAATAGAATCAACCGGGCTCGATTTATCAATAATTTTTCCTTTTAAATTAATTTAACTATCATCTTAGTTTGCATAAGTAAAAACCTATACAGAAATCGGAGCTACAGTACTAGGAATGTCAATTTATCCAGTAATCTAAATATCATTTGATCCAGATATTTTTTTAAAACCTGTAATATACCACGAATAATCTTACTATATCGCACAACCTATTTCTCCATTTTAAGCAACATCTACTTAAGCTGCTGATAATAATTAACTACCACCTGATATGTGAGATTTGCAATTCGGATAAATCTTAAATGGTGTTGCATGTTTAAATCTAATTTCTATGGAACCTTCTGCAGGAATTTAATTAGCAATTTTGAATGATACTACTATGTCTACTTATTTCTTAGAAACTGGAACTTTAAAACTTGCATCTCCATAAGTAACCCATTGTGCCAAATCTATAGCAAGATTTGTAATCAATCCTTATGCTGCATCCCAGGCTGTTTTATTAATTACTTCTAAAACAACATTTGTCAATTTACCTTAACTCCAAATATATGATTAGAAGTTAATATTATCTATTTCTGATCTATCTGTTAATGCGAATAATTCAATATTTCCAGTAACTGTTGGAACCAAAGCGGCTTTTGCTTTTCTTACTACCCAGTTTGAATCTTCGAATACTATGCAATATTCAAAAGTTGTGCTTAATTTGCATTCTTCTAAATTACCTTTGTTTTCTTTGTAAGGTAAATTAAAATAGCCAACAGGTAATTCAGTTACATAGAAATCACCTTATATTAAGGCAATTTTCATTTGATGCACAATTTTTGAAGTATCTTTCTTAAATGTAGAGAGAAAAGTTTCTCCTACTGTGCCCACTATAGTACTTTCATCATTTATAGGAGAAAGAATACCAGGATTATCTATAAGATTAATGAAAACTTAGATATAGAAGAATTTAAGTATACTCGCTCTCCTTTAGAATCGATATTGTAAGAAGTAATTCTCAAATTAATATTTGCTCTTATTGCTTTGTTACTACTGTCTTTAGGAGTGGTTGGATTACAAACTTTCCCTACATAAATTTTAGTTTTTGTGCCTTTAGCTATTGAATTGAAATTAATAACCTCCAAAAATACAGGCTCACCTTAATATCGGCTTTCTACTAAAATGCATTTAAGCTCTTTTTTTTTTATTAATGTGAAGTTATCTGCATAATATGTATCTGATTTAGAAGAATAATCTTCTTTTTATTTTATTTCATCTGCAAACCAACAAGAAGCTCCTAATTTATCACTAGAATTACATTTTAAATCAGTATTAAAAGCAAATCCTTCATCATCTGATGTTGGGAATTCAAGTTACAATCTACCTCCCAGATCATATGCAGGAATGTCTTAGCTTACAGTAAATGAAAATATGAACATATTGTACTAACCTGGAGTTGAATGTGCCCATTGTACAGTGAAGTCAGTAAATACAGTAGCATATAAATACAGAAAGTGTGAGTTTGAATACTTAGTATCTGTACTTGAAATTAAAGGATTAGAAGGAATCTAATGGGAACTCTATATTTCATAGTAAGCTTGAGTAGAAGGTTAAGTAATGCCATTATATGGATTCGCATAACGAGTTGAAAATTCAACTTCATATTCTTGATTTGCATTTAAAGCATTACTATGAAATAAACTCATTTTTAAAGATCCTGAATTACTAGAACATGAACATTTGTTTATTATTAATAATTATTTATTTAATATTTAATCATCTAATTAGCAAATATCATAACCTCCATTTGGACCACATATAAAAGGATCAATAATATTGTTTACTATATTAAATATTAAAGCATATTTGATACTGTTTATTGCAACATTTGCTACTGTAAATTTAAAGTTAAAAGGCCCAATATATATTTTATTTGTTATTGTCCTTTCAGGATGCGTTCTTTTATACACTATTGGATTTAAAATTTAAAAGTCTTAAAATGCTTTATTTACAGTTATTTAAGCAGGTGTTGAATCATATTATATTTATTCGTAATTTACTAATGGTGATGGACTATGCAACATTACGCCTGAATTTAAAGCTGTTTTAAATTCGTAACCTAATTCTACTGTTACCAATGGCTTCAAGCAAATTAAAGTACTTGGCAATTATAAAGAAATTACAATTGTTACTAACGATGATTTAGCTATTGTCATTAAGTTAAATATTACTAACTTAGAATCACTGTCTGCTATATATCTTATTCCTTAATTATCTAACGCAGTGATTCCGGTAGTTGCAAAAAAGAAATTTGTTACTGTATTTAGCTTATGGCAATTAAATGTTAATGAAATATAGCCATTATCAGGTAAAGCTTCTTCTAATGTGAAAGATATTGTATTTTTAACTTAGTTTGACTTATTTATTGAAAAAAATAAAAATATTTAATCATTTTTTTATATATATATATTTTTCTTACTTAATATAGTTGTGTTGTTTCTTCAAGTTTAAATATTCCACCAGTCATTGTCATATAAGGATAAGTAATAGTACCTGAACCTATATTAACTAATTACTATTAAAACCATACATAAGAATTGATAGTGAACTAAGTATTATAAGCAGGATTAGTAATAAAATTTTCTATTATCTCTATTTTTGCAGTAGTTAATTAGGCAATATTAGGTGTAAAAACAATCCAATTGACCGGATAGTCATATTTCAAACATGTACCTCCAGTACAAGCAACAGGTCCAAATAACATTTATACTTTAGGCAATTCGATTATTACAGCATAATTTAAATCAAGATTGCTTTAAGGGAACGTATAAGTATATTTAATATCTTTTGTATTTAATCTTAGATTATTTTAAGTTGCAGTAATTACTTAAGGGCTTACTAAAATAAAATTATATATATATTTTATTTTATTTTTAAAAAAATACATGGTGTAAATTTTGTAACAACAAAAATTTATTTATTATCAATTTAGCAAATAGGAACTATTGGGTCTCTTTATCCAGGAGTTTCTTCAAGAATTTTAAAATTAATAATTGCAGGATAATCGACATTATTAGAAATTTTTATTTTAGGAATAGTTATTTTTATATATGATGTTTTAGAAATGAAATTAGTCTATAATAAATTAACTTACAAATAAGGATATTCGTTTAATGATTCTTTTTATTCTCTTATATTCAAATCACAATTACTAGCTTTTTATGTCAGATCTATATGTTCCCATATATTACCCTCAAGTTAACATGGATAATTTTTAATTAAATAATTATGCTTTGAAGTAAATCCTAGTGTTTTTTCTCCTTTTCTCCATTAATCGCCATCGGCTAAATTAGCTGCATTTCCCCAACCCAAATTAGTTTCCCAAGCAGATCCAATAAATTCTATTCTAATGATATAATTTCTATTTTCAGGTTTTCTTAATGTATAATCTTTAATAAAATCATTCAAATGATTATATTTCATTTAAATATTAGTAAACTATCCGGCACTATAAACTGTAGCTGATAAATCTGAAATTTACCCGGCTGGATTAGGAACGTCTTTTGCAGATCCATCATTAATAGCATCTGGTTTTGGAATAAATTCAGTAAAATATACTTCATCTGGAGGTTATCCTGGAGGAACTTCTTTGCCAGTAGAATCAAGTGTAAATATATTACCATTAAATTTCCACATATGTATATGAAACAAATATCTTTATACAAGGGGATTTAATTGAACTCCTTTAGGTTTTCCAGCAAAATTACCTTAAGTTGTCACCGTTATTGGAATTTCACTCTCCTTGAATGAATACGCTAAAGGTGTTAAATATATTAATGCTGTACGATCAGTTCTCGCCAATTCCCAATCTTTATCACAGTTTTCGCCATTTAAACCTCCTGAGTATTTATCAGCGTAAAAAAAGCAGACTAATTTTCCATATTAAGGCTCAGGCTTTAATATTTAAGGAAATATATCTATTCTAAATTTACCAAAGGTTCCCACATCAGTCTTTGGTAATTGCGTTTTCAAAAAAAGAGTTATTTCTAAAGGCCCTATTTCTCCCGCTCGTAGTGTTATGGGAGCCTAAACTGGATTCACACTAAACTTTTCAAGAACTCCGTAAGTTTAATTAATCATTATATCAACTGTATTCATGTCTACTACAGCATTTCTCAGAGTGTTATATGTTGCGATTGTTACTGGATATTAGTTTTCGTAATGAGGAGACTCTACTTCTACTGAGAGTACTAGTCTTTTTGTAGAATCTATTTTTTCAAAGTTTTCTATTCTATAGGCATTTGCTTCTGGAATTAAGTAACAATAAATCATTTCATTTTTTTTTTGTTCGAAACTATATTTATTTATTATATATTAATTAAAAAATAAATATTTACCCATTTACTATTGTACAATTTTTTGCATTTAATTTCCATTCATTTGTAAAATTTAAATAAAGTCTATCATTAGAACCTACAGGGTTAACTAAATTAATAAAGAATGAGTATAAAGATTTTGACCATTTAAAGCTATCAGAAGATATATAACTTATCTTCATTATTCCTGGCTCTATCTATATATTTCCTCCAAACTCTACTTTTTCTAAAACTAAAGAAGAATCTAATTCCAATACTTCAATTTTAAATCCTTACATGATTCCACTAAAATCAGGATTTATCATATTTATTACTCTTGCAATATTTATATCAGTAATATTTTTATTAACGCTTTAGCAGGTTATTGTTCTATAATTATGCGCAAGTATTGCTTTTGCCGTTTTTCCAAACTAACCTACTATATCACATCCTACTCCTAAGGAACGATATCCTTCTGGAAATGTAAATCTTAAACTGTTTCCTGGTCCATAACTATTTTATGTTCTAAATTAGAATTCCCATGACGACCCTTCACTAATACGATAGTTACTTATTCTGTATATTTAAGGATCCTAAATTATTACTTTTTTAAAAAAATAAATTTTTTGTTATATTATAAAATATTTTAATATTTATTAAAAATTACAAGGTGGTGGAGCGAATCCTACATAGCCAAATGTATCTGAATAATCTTGAGTTACTTCCAAATAAGTTGTCCTTATAGAAAATTATCCAGATTAATCTTTATATTAGGGATTAGTTATTTATCCTATTACAATCGTGAAGATATTCTTTAGTATATTCTAAACATCTGCTCTTACGATTCGATTATTTATAGTTACACAAGGCACTTATTAAAAATATTAATCATTTTCTTTTTTTATAGAGCATTCTGGTCTTTTTGGAATAGCGTTTGCTAAAAATTCAGAAGGGAAGGTAACTTCAATAAATGCATCTTTTTCAATTATTGTTTAGGGAACAAATTAAAACTAGTAATAAGTAGTTTCTTGTTTATTTGATGAATATGGAAAAATTGATTAACTAGAAACTTAAATCAATTAACCGCATATAAGTTAACGAAGTCTTTAAATAAATATTAAAAAAAAAAAAAAAATCATATTTTATAATAATTATTTTTTAATTTATATGTATAATAATATATATTTTAGAAAAAATTTAAATAAATTATTTAAAAATTATTATTTAAAAATAAAATCATATTTTATTTTATATTTAATTATAATATATCTATTTAATATATATAAACATAATAGTTTCATTGAAATTATCATCATTCTTTCATTTAATTAAATTACATAAATATATTAAAATTAAAAAAATTTATATAAAATTAAAACTTTAAAAAAAAAAAATACAAAATATACTTTTATATATAAAAGATTTTTATTATTAAAATGTTTTTAATGATTAAAAAAAATATAATTATGTGTAAAAGAAAAATTAGTTAATTAAAATCATTAGTAAATACAATAAAATACATGAAAAACAATTAAAACGACTAAGTACTAAAAATTAAAAACATATTTACCAAAAATATTTTTTTTCTTAATTTTATCATCCTTAAATTTTTATTATTTAATATGATTATTTCTTTAGTTTAATTAAGAATTTTAATTATTCATATTATTGAAATTATTACTCTAATCATTAATTTAGAATTCATCCATTCTTTCGCTTATTTTATTTATATTAAATACATTTAAATCGCTTTTTTATCCACTATTTAGTTTTATTGATTGAATTGATAAATCATCCTAGAATTAATCTTCAGAAAAAATCAGGGATGATGATTTATTAATTTTATTGCTAGAATTTTGTGAATTAATTCGTTCAGTATTATATTTGCTTACATTTTGTTCTTTTAAAGTTTAAATTCCTTATCCGTTTTATAAATAATTTTTGCTTACATAACAATGGATTGTTGATCTTTTTTTTTTAATTAATTAAGAATTACTTTATGATTACTTTTTTATACTTTATTTGGATTATTAACCATTATTTTCACAAATTTTATATGTAAAAGCATTTGCTGTATTAAAATTATAATCTGTATAACTTGTATTTGCTGAATGATGCTATTTATTATTCTATTAATCATATGTTTTAAATATTTTACCTTTTATATCTTTTTCAGTTATATTTGTATTTATCTTTAATACTTAATTATGTTGTCCATATTAATAATTATTGAAAAAATTCGAAAGATATATACAATCTTAGTTATAATAAATTATTATAATTTCAAATTATTCATTAAAATACTCTTTTATATTTCCAACTTTTGAAAAAGTATCCAAAATTAATTAAACGTCATAATCTAAAGGAAGATTATAAACTTTTATGGCAGTTTATATTTTTTCTTATATTATATCTAATTTTTATATACTGTTTTATTATTATTATAAAATCATTTATTTATATATATTTTCAATTTTTTTTTTTTATATAAAAAAAATATTTAGAAAATAATATTTGATAATTATTATTTAAAATAATGTATTTTTTTATAAGATTTTTTTAAAATATTTATTATTGTTTTTAGTGTTTTTTTTTTATAAATATTTATTAGTTTTAAATATATAAATAAACATCATATTTATACAATTTTGGATTTTTATATTAAACATAAGTTTATTTTTTAAATTTAATTTATTATTAATTTTTAAATCAATAGATAATTAAAATATTCGATAGAATAATTTATTATTTAATAAGGCATATAATCGAAAAAAATAAAAAAGTAAATTATTCAAAATTTTATTAAATTTAAATTTAAATAAATATAACTAAAAATATTTATTTTTTGCATTATAATTATATATTAATATAAAAATTTATCTTAAAGAAAAAAAAACATAAATTAATGACCTCTCCTTTCTAATCTTCTATAAGAGTTAATTAAGAAGAATCCCCAAACAAATAAAGAATAAGAATTTTAAGAGAAAAATGGGAAAACGCTGAACATAATTTAAATAAAGAAAAATAAGATAGAAGAAATATTTTGGATTAAAGAATTTTTAATTTGGAAGAAAGGCTAAATTAAGAACGTTTAGCAGACGATTAAAAATTTAATGTAATATATAATATTCCAATATATTATGCATATTATATTAATTAAGATATTAAAAGATGAGGTTATGAAATTGTAATATACATTTGAAGAATTAAAAAATAATAAATAAGTAAGTATAATTTTTTTTACATTTTATTATTTATTTCTAATAATGAAGGATTCAAATTAGGAAAAATAAAAGGAAACAAAAATACTGAACGAAAATTTATAAAATTTATTTTGAAGAAGAAAAATTTGTATTATATTTCGAAATTCGCATTAATTATATTTTTATTTTTCAAAAAAATTAAAAAAAGTCAAAAAAAACATTTGAAAATAACATTTTTAAACAAATAGATGAGAAATTTTATAATATGAATATAAACCTTAACAAAAATAATAAATCATATGAAGAAAATTCAGATAATAAAATAAAAGAAGTTAATTAAATAATTAATTTTATTAAACAATAAATAGATTAGGATAAAAAAAAAGGTAAAGCAATATAAAATAACAATATAATAAAAAGTTAAATTTTATTTCGAATTTTTAGAGAAGATTAAACTAATATTTTAACTGAAGAAATTGAAAATTAACTTAATTAGTTTCATGATGTTTTATTAGTAGAAAAAAAAGTAATTTAAAAAATTAATATAAAAGTTCTAAATTATTCATTTTATTTAAACTAAAAATAAAAAAAGACAAGAGAAGAGACATAAAGCAAAATGTATAGAATGATTGAAGATATACATGAAAAAATTTAAGAAGAGCTTTAGGTAATAATTTTATAATTTAAAAATAAATTTATTTATTTAACAAAAATCAAAGACAGAAAGATAATAAAGAGAAAGTACAACTGATTCTTTAATTAAATTATTAGAAGAAACATGTTAAAAAATTGATAAAGGTTTTAAATGAAAAATAATAAAATAAAAAATTTATATAAAAATAAATATTAATATAATTTAAAAAAAAAAAAATATTTTACTTATGTAATAGTATATATTAAAATAAAATTTTTAAAAGCAAATTAATTTTTTTTTTTTTTCATTAAAATATTTAAAATATGTTTTTCTTTTTTTCTAATCCTTCCTTTTTTCTTTAAACAACCATTTTTTTTGCTTAACTATATTTATGTCTAAAATAATCCCTTTCTTATGTAATTTAAGAAAACAATTAATTTTTCTAATCAAAATTTTATGTCTATATTTTAAGTTCATTTTTTAAATAATAATTTTCTTCAATTAATTATAATTTTTCATTTACAAAATAGCTTTCAACTTTTTTACAGTGTGTTTTGAAAGTATTTAACTCTTAAATTAAATTTGCTACTTTTTCATTATTCATTAACTCCTTTCTATTATCTTATAATTATTTTAGAAGTTCTATCATTTATGTTTCTAGTTTTTTATTATGGGCATCTAAAGAGTTATTTTATAATTAAAGCTTAAAGTTTATGCTCTTTAATTATTAATTCTCTTCTTTAAATTTCTATATTGTATCTTAAACATGTATTTATTTTGATTTTAATTAAGGTGTTTATATCTTTTCAGTTTTCTCTTCCTCTTCTTCATCCCAATTAAAATCTTCATCTCTAAAATCTTTAGCTAAATTAACTAAAGATATTGTATTAGATTATTATATTTATTATTAAGTATTATTATTTATATTATTTTTTTATAATTGAATTTAGTCAATAGTTTCTTTTTATATTTAATTTTCTTTTTATAATAAATCAATTTATTATTTTTATTATTTTAAATTCCGTTTTAATTTTTATTCATTTTCATTATTTTATTAATTTTCTAATTCTAGTTATTTATTTTTCCTTATTATTTACATAATTTTTTATTATTGAAGTTCTATTTAATTTTGTTTTTCTTAAACTTTTCTTTAAACTTCTTCTATTTATTATTTTAATTTTGCTTAATATTAATTTAATTAACTTATTTTGATATTTAAGTTATTAATTATTTGATTTTTTTAATTAATTTCATTCTCAAATTATTCCTTTTATAAATTTAATTACTTTTCTATTTGCTTTATCTTATCACTTTTGTTTTTATTTTATTCTTCAGCTTCAGTAAGTTAAAATTTAATTAATTCTTCTTCAATATTACAACAATATTTTTCATACAATTAGTTTTCTAATTATTATATTTTTTATTCATATTCTTTATTGTCTAATCTTCCTTATTAAAAGCTTATTAAAACCTATTATCGAATTCGAAATTTTATTAATCTATTTATTATTTATAATTTTCTAAACTTATTTCTAACTCATTTACTTTTTCATTTAGGAATATTATATTATTCTCCTTGTCCACAATAGTATCTACAGCTGTTGTTTTTAATTATTCTATTTCTTTTTCAAGAGCTTCATTTTATTTTAGAATTTCCATAATGTTTACAATGTTCATTGAATGCTTTTCTTCTAATAATTACTAATTTTCTTATTCTAATAGACATATTTTAACTAATAATTATTATTCCTATTATTATTTTAAATTTAGTCCCATCTCTACTTAACTTAATTATCTTTCTAATTCATTTACTAATTGGTTTGTTTTGAATTCTTATAATTTCTATGATAATGTTTCTTCTAAAATTTATACTTTTTATTTTTAATTGTCTAATTCACTATTAAACTATAATAATAATAATAAAACAATTTTTTGCTTTTAAATAATTTATAATACTTCTATTTCTTTTTTCCTAAATTATAATTCCATGTATCTAATTTTTTTATTAATTTCATCCACTTCTGCTTGTTTTTTTTAAAGCTATATTGAAAGCTGAGTTATATTTTTTTAACATAAAAAAATATTTAAAATTAATAACTATAAATTAAAAAAAAATATATTATTTTTACATTATAGTCTTAATCTTAATCATCAATATCAGAATTCAATTATTAGCTATTATTCATTTTTTTTTATATATTGATTAAAATTTTATTAATTTTTATTTTTAAGTAAAATTTTATTTTTTTAATTATCTTTAACTAATTTACCATATTAAAAATTAAAATAGATTAAAATTTTATAAAAAAAATATTATGCTAATGATAAAAATATATATATAATATTTTAGTGTATATTAAAAAATAATTATGTTTGGTTAAAATTATTATTTAAATATATAAATTATCAAATTTATAAATATCATCTTGGTAATAATACTAATTAGAGTAATAAGTGACTTATGAATTTTGTATAAATATAGGCTATCAATCTTAAAAAGAATAAAAAGGTATTAAATCTATAAATTATAAATAATTTAAATTTTTTATTAAAAAATAATATTTTACTCATCAAAATAGCTCAAAATAATTTAAATAGACATTCCAACTATTGTAGCCCTTGAAAAAATATTCATTAAAGTCAGTTATTTTTATATTGTGGATAAAAATCCAATTGAATAATAAAATATACTGTAAAATACATTAACTATATATATTTTAATTAATAATTATGTAAAATATTTATTTAATTTACTTATGAAAAATGTTATAAATAAATTTATAAAGTTAATCAAAATTTAGATCATCATAAATAATTTATAACTACGTTTTTGATTTTATATTAAATAAAAAAAAACTTATATTAATAAAAAAAAAAAACGTTCTCAATTGTATTTGCTCTTTAAGTAAAGTTTATAATCAAAAAAATAGATTCAACTAAAAACTAAAAAATCAAAAATATTATAAAGCTTAAGTTATGTTTTGTATACAAATCTATTATTTCATCAACAAATAAAGGCAGTTATATATAATTTATAAAATAAGGTTAATTTATTTGAGAAAATAAAGGTAAAAAACTTAATCTTAAGGAATACTCAATAAGCTATTATTTGTTATATTAAGCTATAAATTTTCATTAAAATCAGAACCGTAATTTTAAGGTTCGCCATCAATTTTTTTACTATGAATTTAATATATTTTAGCTATTTAAAATGAAATGAAAATATTTATATTAATTAATTTATTTTCTTAAATATATATATATATTTACTTATTTGATATGACCCTGTTGGATTTATCATTATTCCTCCATAAGATCTAGATAGTTAAGAAATGGAGCTAGATATTCTTTAAGAAGAATCAAAAGATTAACGTGAACCTTAAAAATTATTTATTATTGATTGTTATTATTCTTCTTAATACATAATATAATTAATTTATTTTATTTTAAATAATAATATTTATAATTTATATTAATAAATATTAATATATATAATTTTAATATAAAATAGTGTATTTAAAACAGTAGAAAAATATTATTTTTAAGTATTTTTGTTTCTAAAAAAAATAATAATATATGTCTTCCCTAATAAAGGAAAAATATAATTATTAATATTATTTAAATTCTTAATAGAGTCAATAATTACTGATTATAAAGAGTGTCGTTTTGGAAATGCGATAATTATATATTGCTTTTAGAAACTTTTATAATCTATAATAATATAATTTTTTATTATTTTATTTAAAAAGTTTATATTGAATTATATAAAAAGTAATTTTATTTATTTTTAAAAAAATACATAAAACTTATATTTTTTTAAATTTTAGTTTTTTTAGTTAATTTTTTTGAGAGAAAATAAATAACTAAAAACTATTTGTAATAAAAAAAAAAATCAATTTTTATAATGATGAAATATATATAATAAATGTATTATTCTAATTAATATAGAATATTTCATAAATTCAGTAAAAAATAATTCATTTGATAAATTATAATTTATACAAAATTTTGAAATATATTTTTTTGAGGATTAAATTAAATATTACTATTATAAATCCATTTATTTTGATAATAATGTATATTAAATTTTTTCACTTTCTTAAAAGTCTAATATAAAATAGATAGTTATTTTATTTAGGTAAAATCGTATGATATATAAAAATAAATATATAATAAAAAAAAAAAAATTAGATATATATATAGATATATAAAGATATATAAATTTATATATATATAGATATATATATATATATATATATATATATAATTAAATCAATATATATTTATATATTTTTTATAGAAATTGCTTATATCATTTAATTTTTATTTAATTTTCCGTAATCTTAATTTTTTTCAATATAGTAATTAATAATAAATAAAAAGAAATTATTTTGCGAATCAATATATTTCAAAAAAATTTTCTTAAATATTTTAATTTTAATAATTTTAATAAAATTTTTTAATAAATAATTATCTTTAGACTTTATATTACAAAAATATTTTTATAAAATTAAAAAATTTAAATTAAAAATATTTCATTTTTTCAAATGAAATATAAACCTGCTTATATTTAAAACTTATAATGTATGTTTTACTAAAAAATATTATTTTCATAAATTTTAAATTAAGAAAGAAGATTTAAAAAATTAATAACTGAATATATTTTGATTTTGATTTTCTGTTAGTATGGATTTTATTTTAAACATAATAATTTTATTATTTAGCTATCTATATATATATATATATATATGTATTATTTATTCAGATAATTAATTTTGATTCTATTACATTCTAAGGTATAATTTTTGTATCTAAAAATTCAGTTTTTGTCATATCTTTAGTTACAGGTTTTTTATTTTTATTATTTTAATATTAGTCATATTCTAAATTATAATTTCTTTAATCATTTTATATTTTATTATCAATAAAATCTAGCTTTTATTTATATTTTAAATTAATTAAAATCATAATTAATATAATTTTACATTTTTTATTAAATTTTAATTATTATTTGATATATCATTACTACTTTTTTTTAAGAATTAATACTACTATAGTTATTATCCTTAATTTCATAAAATTTCTATTCATGTGTTTATTGACTTTATATTTTAATTAATTTTTTTTTATATATATATATAAATTTATAGATACAATCTTTTTAATTAATTTATA